GAGGATGTTTACTATAAAAAGTTCGAAACATAGGGTTAAACTTATGCACGATCTTTTTGAATGCTCAAAACACTAGAATTTTAGAAGAATTAGAAAAACGAGTTTCTTTTGAAAGAGATTGAACTAAGAGAATGACAAAATATTTCTAACAAACCTACCTGCAAAGGAAATCGACATAAGTGATGCAAAAATGAGAAGGAAGAGGAGACTAATCTTCTTGAGAAGAAAGAAATCCATGTTTTTGAAAAAACTTCAATGTAAGAAAGAATTTCAAGCTCTCGTTTTGCTCACATAAAAGAAACAACAACTCTAGCAAGTCCTTTCCATAAGTAATATATTTATATAGAACAACACATTTTATGGAACTCACAATTTTTATCAACTTTTCAATCTAATATTATTAAATTTTATCAAAATCCACTAAAAATTCAATTTCAAACCAATCAAATAGGGGATAAATTTACACTAATAAAAGATAAAGAGATAAATTGGAAATCATATTTTATTTCATAGAATGCTATCTTTGTGCCTTTTAGTTAAAAAATTCATAATGTAAAGGTAAGAAACACTACTTTACTGTTGTCCAAGCACTATGTCTGAGAAGTTAGTGGGATTAATATATTAACCATAGCCCCTATTTGATTTTAGATAAAAAGTCATATTTTTAGTAATTTTTTTCTAAAAGTTGATGGAATGTTCGTATGTGCGATTGAAAAATTGTGAGTCCTATTAAATATATTATAAAAATTAGTTAATCACTTTGACTTGAATTTATTCAAATTTTCTAACTGAACCAAATAGTGGCTAAATAAAGAATGGATCCTTCGTATAAACATTAAAATAGTGCCCCTTATAAACACACTATAATGAGGAAAACATTTAACATTTGAAAAAGTTCACCTTAGGTACATTAATAACATTTTTTGAATTCATTATTTTGTCTATAATGTTGAAATCTACTGTCGATTAAGAATTATGTTTGGAGTTTCCTCATTATTACTTAAGGTATATTTTATTCATCTCTCGTTTCCTCAATATTACTAGTTAAGACGATTATCACTTTTCTATATTGTATTTTGAAATTTTTGTGTTACATATTGGCAATTGGTTGTAGCACCATAGTGGATATTAGAGGGGAGCCTCGCGCTGATTCATCCTTTTTACATTAGTCATTCAAGTATAATCTATATTGTTTCCAAATTATCAATTATCTTAATAAGTTGTTTTCCTCCATACTATATGGATTAGTCTTTACTATTCTCGTATCTTCGATAATTGATATTCAGACATTTATAGATCCGTCTATGTCAATTGTTTGTGACTTGATTAGCCAAATCTCAAAAAGTGTCACGTGTACCATATCCTATTAGGCCCTTGCTCGGTTCAATTAAAATTTTTTTAATTAAAATCTAAGTTAGAATTAACGAATAATTTTATACATACATTTCCTGAGATTCGTAACTTCTCAATCACATATTCCACTTAATTTTATATAAAAATCTACTAAAATTTTTATTTTTATCTTAACCAAATATAATTATCACAAAAATATAAAGTGTAAAACACAAATTTTTTTTTTAATTAAAATCTAAGTTAGAATTAACGAATAATTTTATACATACATTTCCTGAGATTCGTAACTTCTCAATCACATATTCCACTTAATTTTATATAAAAATCTACTAAAATTTTTATTTTTATCTTAACCAAATATAATTATCACAAAAATATAAAGTGTAAGACACAAATTTTCAACCTGACTCGTTAAAATTTAACAATTTCCAATTGCCAGTGTGTTTTGTGCATTCAGTACAAGTGCTTGACTAATTTAAAAGTAAATTCAACTTGCCATTATAAATATATAAATAAAATGCCAAAGTGATGTAATGGTGCTCTTGCTGATGGAACAAATAAAGGCTTTTATATGTCTTTTGTGGACTTTATTTACAAATTAAATAAAAAAGTGGCCTTGAAACATCTTTTGTGGAAGATTAGTTCTTTCCATTATCCACAATCCACCGATTATTATTCAAATGACAATGGTGGAAGAAAAAAGAGGAGCACTATCACATTTAAAATATCATATTAAATTATATTTCTTTTCTTTGAATAATTTTATAATATTTCTTTTCTATACGTAAAAGTGGTGTTAGGACACAAAGTCTCAAAAGAAGACCTAAGTAAACCGTCTTGGCACTACAAAGTGAAACCAAGAATTATTGTTTGACATTTTGCAAACATGTTTCTCCTTTTCTCTGGAGGTTTTCAGATTTTGACTACTTTTAAGGCCTACTTAGTTTCTTTAAGATTTTTATAAAAGTTAATAAAATGTGTTATTAAAACGTTGAAATAAATTGTGAATTTCATGAAGTAAATAATTGAAAATAAATTTTGAGAAAATTAGTTTTAAAAACTAGGGGTCAAACATGAGCTTATAGTCAACCTAGCATTTGATAATATTTAGAATAATATTAATGTTTAGTATATTGAACTGGATAGCATTAAGAAGGAAAATAGTTTAAATTACTTTTATTAAATAATACTGATTAGTTTGTTTTACTCGCGAGTTTTACACAATTTTAACTTGATTTATTGCTAAATCTTATGAGTATAGAACGTTTTTGATGTGTTTATTAGTGTTGTTTTG